AAGTGAACCATGTCCCCATGGAGTTTGTATGTGAGTGAGGCAGGCTGAATAGGAACCTGGGGACAGGCAGGAGAGGGCAAATGTGGAGGTGGGGATTGAGGCAGAATGAAGCTGGAGTACGTGGACTTTTCCTTCTTTGTTGACTTATCAGAGTGAACTTCCTGTGAGTCCATAGGTGAGAGCTGTGTGACAGCTGTCAGTGAGGAGTGGAAGGTGCCGTGGCAGTCTGGAAACCTGTCCTCCTCTAATCCAGGATGTGCCACTGCCATTTGTGATGCATCTGCTCTCCCCACCCAATGTCATGTGATAGAACCCAGGTCATGATGGGGAGTTCTGGCTCCCTGGTCATATTACGTCCCATGTTCAGACACTCCATCTCTCCTGAGTCCTAGAAACAGGTCAGGAGCTGTTTTTCTATTGTTGTAGAAGGCATGGGCTTGCTCATAAGCCTAGGAGTCTGCATGGAATTCTCTCATTAGGTCCTGCTGGAGGCTCCACAAAGCACTTTTCATCGTTCTAATGTAAGTTGGATGGAGATACATATGCAGGAACTTGTCCTTTCCTCTGGAGGGTGTGTCCAGCATGCCCCAGACTATTGGAGGCCTAAAACCTTCATAGCTGTAGCAGATCCCTGAATGGTCACAGATATGGATGGCCCTACAGCCCATGGAACTTTCACATTTGGCTTAAAGTGTTGATAACTAGAGCTGATCCTGTCACTGATGTCATTGTCTTCCATCATCAGTATCAGCAGCCATCCACTTCCACCCTTTGGAGCACATGTGTATTATTAAGGTGTTCAGAATAATGCTATTTCTTGTTCATCATTAGTGGGAAAGCTTCTAGTTCTCACCATTAAGTAAGACATGAGCTGTATGTCTGTAGGTTTTTTGTTTTGGGGGTTTTTATGGTGAGGAAGATTGTCCCTGAGCTAACATCTGTGACAATCTTCCTCCACTTTGTATGCAGGATGCAACCACAGCATGGTTCAATGAACAGTGTGTAGGTCCACACCCGGGATCTGAAGCTGTAAACCCCAGACCACTGAAGCAGAATGTGCAAACTTAATCACTACACCACCAGGCCAGCCCCTCTGAAGATTTTTATGACTTGAGTTTGGAGCAGAATTGACTTGGAGGATGAATTCATCCATTTCCTCTGCTAGGCAGGGCCACCTTCATGGGCTCATAATCTGTAAAGTCACTTAGAAGGGCCTGCAGTAGGTTTAATGCCCTGCTTTTGCCATCTTGAAATTCTTCATGATTTTTGAAGAAGGAGCCCTGATTTTCACTTTTCACTGAGTCCTGAATTTATATAGTTGGTTCTGCCCCTGGGAGTGAACATGGGTAGATGGGCTCCCTTTGGAAAAAGAAAAATTTTGACCTTATTGGGGCAGCACCACCACAGCATAACCTGGAGGGTTGTGAAGAGAGATAAAGAGGAATTGGGTTTTTTCTACTCTGTTTGTGTCATTATAAGTCTCTATCTGCCCCCCACCACCCCTCACCTCTGTAGCTTATAGAGGAAAGTTAGATGTACTTGGGAGATTCAAATTTTGGGTTCCACATCCAAGGGGGAATAAAAGAAATCACAGCTAGTTGGTTCAAATGTGAATAACATTCAATAGATATCATAGAGTCCACACTGAATGTTGGTCTTAGGAAAGCACTGGGAAGACTGGGACAGGAAGGGGGTGTGTTATGGTGATGGGGAAGAAAGGAGCTGAGTCCTCATCTCCCAAGAGGGACGACCTTAGATAATGCCTGAAAGTGGAAAATCAGTAAGTAGCCTCTCAGAACATGTTATTCAGAGATGACTTTGGCTCCATCCAGAGGAGCTGCTGCTGTTTGGGGCTGATCTCCTCAGTGTGGCCCAGATAGGAGATGCCAGGACCTTCCTGTGATCGCTGTGAATAGAAACACAGAGACACTGGGCTTATCACAGCCAAGTCCAGTGTTGTCACAAATACAAGAAAGAGAACATCTGACAGGAGGGATCCAGCACTGGTTTTATTCACACTGTGAATATCAAGAAAAAAATGATAATCATTGTTCTGGCTACAGTGTGCAGCATGACAGGTTAAAATCTCCTTGAGGTTGTATGTCTTTCACATCAAAACAATGTGCCCCCTCTGGGAAAGACTTACACAGCTGATTAAGATTCTTCCAAGAAGCCCAAATGTCTTCAGTCTTTGTCCATATGACATATGATGGGGATCTGTTTGTATTTTTTATATCAAGAGCATAGAATTGAAATGTTATAATCCTTGGTTCATGACCCAGTGAAATCTCCAGTCCCTAAATGGCCTGCCTTCCTTTTCTTAGAGAGATATTACTTATTTAACTTTATTTTTTACTTACATATTTGGAATCAGGCTCTAGTTACAGCTTCCAGAAGATCTCCACAGGCAGGACTGGAAGTTCAGCTCACTAAGGAAGCTCTTCCTACTTCTGGGATGAAAAAACTGTGAAATTAAGACCATATGCTGGTGCCATAGCACCTCTGCAGTATGATTCTTCTACCTTTTGAAAGGGCTGTGTAATCTTATTTCAATAGATGATGTCATTAATTATAATGGGCAATATAATGTCAATTATCTAAAATAGTTCGTTATATTTTTGTAAAAATATTACTTGTATTAAAGATAAGGCAATTATAAGTTTAAAAACAAGATGATTGTGAAACAAAACCATGGACGTTACTTTATAAGCTACTTTATTTGGAAAGTATGAGAAAGTTCATACCATATAGGCATAAATTAGTAACATATGACAGTTAACACCTGGGTAACCACCCCAAGTCATGAACTAGTTCATTGCCAGCTTCAGAAGTGCCTCTGGGTACAGTCCTGACCACGAGCTCCTCCCTTGAACCTGGAAGTGACAATTTCCTGAATTCATGGTCATTCTCATAATTTCCTTCACAGTTCAGCCCACACAGCACAGGTGCTGCTGTCCAATGAGCCTAGGCCACAGTGCCCAGCACCATGAACCATCCACAGTCACCACGTCCAACCAGATTGGCAGATGTGACACCAACAGTGCAAATGTCCAGGGTGAGAGGCAGTAGGGACTCCCCCACAATGACGGCTGGGGCAGCATAAATAGGTAAAAATAAGGAGACAGAACTTTACCACAATCAAATAAACAGGTTTTGAAAAGGACAGTTTTTGCAAAAGTTTTTTAACATAAATTCTGAACATTTTGAAATACTTTGATACTTGGGAGGCTGAATAATGGCCACCAAAGGTATCCAGAGTCTCACGCCTGGAACCTGTGATTATCCCTTTATATGGCACAAGGGACTTTGCAGGTGTGATGAAGTTAAGGATCTTGAGATGGGAAGAATATTCTCTATCATCCTAATGGAATCCCAGGGTCCTTCTAAGAGATGGGCAGAAAACCAAAATGAGAACCAGATGTCAGGCCGGAAGCAGTGACAGGAAAGGCCTGTGATGCTGGCCTGATGCAAGGAATGAGGACAGTCTCTAGAAGCTGGAAGTCAAGGAAAGGATTCTTCCTCAGAGCCTCCAGAGAGAGCAGTGATCCGCAGACACCTTGTTGTCAGCCAAGCAAAGCCGGTCATTCTTGGGAAACATACAAACGCCAATAGTGACATCAGAAAGTACACATTCCTGCATGTTTCTGCACAGAGGCAGAAACTACCATTTCAAAACTTCTATCCACAGCAGGTACACACAGTATTTTCATTTTTAAGCAATAGGGCCTGAGCAGTCCCTGAATATAAAATAAAAATAAAGACTCTGAGGCATAGAGAGTGTCAGGTGTAGTTCAAGGATGGAGGGTCAGAACCAACCCAGGAGAGGTGGACCCTCTGATTACTTGTCAGTGCCACTCAGAGCAGAGCTCAAGACTGGGGCATGAATGGATTCCAAGGAGTACCTGGGAAGGCAGCCCCTTGGGGGTATGGATGGGTAAAGGCAAAAGAGGTGGCAGGGGAGGGGCAGCCTGTAGAGGGGCAAGGTTCTGTGTCCCCAGGGGAAGTGGACAGAGGGAGGGACAGATGCTTCGGGTAAGGCGGAGGGACAAGATGAGCAGACCCACACAGAAAAAGGGTAAGAGACAGGTGAAAGGGAGACAGAATCTAGTAGGGGCTGGGAGCCCAGGGTAAGGAGGCGTTGAGAGCATCCAGATACTAAGGAGGCAGAGGGTGGAGCTGAGTGCTTGACCATGAGCACCAGGACGGCAACCAGGAGAGGATTCCGGATGCCAGCCTAGCGAGGAGGGACAGAGGGCATGGGATGGGACATGGTAGAGGGACTGGGTTTGCAGAGTAAGGCCAGATCTGGTGAGATGGACAGAGCTGGACCTCAAAGCAGGGTCTGGGATTGGGTCCTGAAAACCTAGAAAATGGAGGAATACCCAGGAGGACTGAGGATGAGCTTGGAGGGAAGGTAACTCTTCAGGGTCAGAGCTATTTCCACACAGTTTTCCTTCTTCATACCTTAAAGAGCTCTACAGTGTAATGTGTTGTTTCAAACACTAATCAAAACTTCCCTGTTAGGATATATTTTTTCCACCATTGGCTGGTTTGTGGCTAAACCTACGAGGATTCAGAATCCTAATTGTGCATGAAGGCAACATGCCCAAATTAGTCCAGTTTTAGGACTTGTCTCCCTCAGGAGCATGGAGCGCTCTCCTCTTATAGCACAAAACAAGGTGCTGAGGATATTTTCAGAGGACAGGGACTACCTGGTAGTGGCTTCAAAAGAGCAAAAGAACCTTCAGGACTGGTTCCCTCTGTTGTTGTCTAACATGACAGGGCTTCATATTGTCATTGTAGAGGTTGATGTCTACATGCTTTGTTTGGAATGAGGAGGTTAAAGAGCCAGAGCAGTGCAGGCCACATATTTCCAGGTCAGCCCAGGAGAGGTGTCCCCACTGGGCAGTGGTTCCTTTCACACATTTTCCCCCTTGGGTCTCTCTGAACCCCACAGGGGCTCCTTCTTCTATGACTTCAGATCCATCACCACCCAGCACCCTCACCCATGTGTACCTGGAAGGGCAGCCCCTGCATGCCTGGTCAGTCAGACCAATGCAGGCTGTTATGCTGGACATTAGCAAGACAAAATCTGCAAAGACTCCCAGAGAGAGGGAAAGTCAGTTCAACATGCCCAGGCAGGTGAGTCCAGTGTGGGGACCAGGGCCCAGGGCTGTGTGTGAGGTTCAGAAATTGTGGTGAGAAATCATATCTCTTGGGGAAATGCAAGTCAAAACTACAGTGAGATACCACTGAGCTGAGGTCTGTCTATTAAGGTTTTTTCCCCACTGTTTCTGTTGCCACTTTGATTAAATAGATAGCTAAGCATTGCTTCCTATTTGACCACGTGTTTTAAAACTTTTTTATTTTTTTTATGAACTTCACCCCCAAATTAAAGTCTTTGGACTTTAAAAAAAAAAAAAAAAAGGAAACTTAGAGAATTTCCAATTAGCCCTGGGACTACTCAAGGAAATTTGTTCTCTCTCTTCCTATAAAGCAGATATTAAACTAATTTGGGCTTATTTGGTATGTTAAATTACATGAGAAGCATTGTCAAATAAGTGATAATAAACCTTTTTAGGTGGTATTATGTGGGTAAATGTTATGATTAAGTGTTTTAAAAACTATCAGTCATAATTCTAGTTACTACCGTAAAGTGTTGTTTGTCATGGAAATTGTTTACCAATTGTCATTTTTAGGTCTTTTGTCGATTACAGATAGTTATTGGTTTACTCTGATGCTTTTGCAAATATGTTTCACCTTCAGAGAAATTCATGGAAAGGACTCTGACACTTGCTCTAGAATACAGTTTTCTGATAGACCTTCAGATCATAAAACTGAATCAGGTAAGAAGCTACAGAACTGTAATGGAGAAACTGATGACTTCATGAAACTACTAACAAAAGATCAAGATCAAAAGTTGACCACATGGGACTAAATTAACTAAGGATGATTATAACTTTTATGACTTTTCATTTAAAATATTGCTGATTTTTTTAATGTTTTTTAAGATTTAAGGAAACCTTTTCTCCTTCCTCTTAAGCTAACTATGACTTTCAACAATTTGACAAATAATACTTTTGTAAGCAGAATTGAAACATTTATCTTTTTCTCCCAACTTGATCCCACCAGAATTTGAAAACTCTTAGTGAGTTTTGTTATTTTCATAGTGATATATTTATTTACACAAGTTCAATAAGAATCTGTTCTCCTTATAACAGGACACAATTGGAAACACTGGTTATATTACCAAAGCTTTGACTGGAAGGTCATATTTGAGAAAAACAGGCATAGACTCAGATATGATCAGACAGCTTTTGAGAAACAAAGATTGGACTTTATGAAATAAAGCCACTTGGAAATATTGGCCTGGTACCTTGTTTACAGGGTTCCCAGCAAGCTTACTGGGTAAGTAAAGAAGGTCATTTATCTGGCAGGTGCAAGGAACCTCAATATTTTGGGGAACCTCAAAAGAAGAGAATACCTCACCCAAATCTGTAGGCGTTACAGGTTTTGTCTGATAAGTCTTTGGCTTGGCTTTCCTGGCCTCAAGAGGCCTTTAAAATTCAATCTGAGATTCCTTATTAAAAGTTCCAGCAAAGCAGGTTTACAAGAGCCTATATGATCAATTGCTATTCTTGCTGCACTTATGTAAATAATTGGGCCAAATTTATTGAAACTAAACTTATTTTGTGAATCAGTTAGTCTTAATTTGGCAACCTTTGGGAAAAATGAGGATGATTTTAGAGAGAAAAATTATGTTTCAGTAGAAACTATAGTACACATTTGCAGATATTAGATTCTAGTTTTGTTAACTGTCTGAGTATTTTGTTTTCTGCCTGTAAATTGAACTGGATCCTGAATTCTTCTAGTCTTCTGAAATATCTGGCTACAAATCTCCAAACTAATGTTTTCGATTTTTTCCCTCATTTTTATTTGAAATCATGGAGAACTAAAACCACCTTTGTTCCTGACCCCTAAAAACTAAAGCTGGACAACTAGATTTAAACTTAAGAGACATCACCACAATAACATGCCTGTTGCTATGTAAGCCACTCAGAAGGATACCTGAACACTCAATGACATCATCAGAAACACTTCAAACAGCAAAAGATGCTCCGACTCTGACATCTAAAAATCTTCTTGACTGGCTGCCCCCTAGGCTCAGGAACTGGTTTGTAATTTGCTCCAAATATTAACCTTGTTTTTCTTTTTGTTTCCATAGAAATGCCTCTATTAAATACTTGATTCCCTACTTCCACAGTATAGGCCTAGCTTTGGGGGCCCACCTGCATCACTGCCTCCTAAAATGAATTTAACTGGACTGATCTATTATCAGGACAATGAGATGGAACAATCTACCATCTCAGCTTCTGGACTATGAAACTTCTTAAAGTTTAAAAGGTGGGGTTGTGGGGGGTCAGAATTGGCCACCCCAAAATGTGTCTCTTTGGCGTAAGGATTATTTGGGGCTGGTTACTTTTAAGAAACTACAGACAGGGGAACAGCTCTGAAAACCAAGTAGAAGTTGTCCTTTGTAAGAGACATTTATATTTGTAAGGGAACTTTCATTTGTGAAGTTATCTCCCTCTCTGTACCAGGAATAAGAGGATGACCTTATCTCTAGAAACTCTAATCAATGTGGAAGGCAAGGACTTAAATCTGCATACTAACCTTACTGTTTACTGTGCTTTTCTGGTAAATTCCAATAACTGACTCCCCCTACCCCCAACATTGTCCTCTGTCTTTAGCTGAAGATGGTATTTAAGCTGGCAGCCTTGGCCACATGGTCAAGTTACCCAGTTTTCCTGAGTTTCTTCCATGTATACATGTTATAAAGCTTTGTTTGATTTTCTCCTGTTATTCTGTCTCATGTCAATTTAATTCATGGCCCAGCCAGAAGGATCTAGAGTGGCTAGAGGAATTGTCTTGCTCCCTGACACACCTCTATGACAAGAGGTCCTGGTGTAGCTCTGGGGCTCATCATTTGAAGGGAGAAGCCAGATGGGGATGAGAGAGAGGGAGGGTGACTGTGTACCCCCACCCTGAGCTATGGGGACTACTCAAGACATGATGCCCCAGGCTTGTGCTTGTCCAAAAAAGGGCTTGCGTGTGTGTGGGGGGGGGGGGTGAGGAATCACTGCTGAAGAATGCAGTGGACTCAGCAATTCCCAGGGAACAAAATATAGATAGAAGGGAAAGAGAAAGAAGGGGACAGGGAGGCTGGAATAGGAGAGGGAGGAGGAGGGACTTGGGCAGAGACCCCGCCCCCAGCCCACATGACTCAGGAGGCTCTCCTACCCAGGAGGAGGCTCAGCACAGAGCACAGAAGGACAGCAGTGCTTGTGAGCCTTTCTGGGGCATAAGCTCTTCTCACGGAGGGAAGGTCAGAGCAAGCAGCAGACGCCATGGAGACCCCTTCAGCCACCACCCACAGAGGGCACATCCTACATGGGTTCCTGCTGGCAGGTGAGAGAGGGCAATTCCCTGAGGGGGGCTGGAGACGGGAGAACAGAGAACTTCTGGGGTCTCCTGGGGAGGACAGGGCTCTGAGAGGGGACAGAGGTCTTCTGTTTGGACATGATGGGAGAGGACATGGGAGCAGAGTAGGATGGGGAAAGGGGACCCAGCAAAAGGAAAATCTCATGATCTGGAAGTGGTGAGGGGCAGGAAAGCCTCAACTGCTGTACCTATTCAAGTTAGGTATCACTGGCCAATAATATTTGAAATTTGATGATAATACTAATAATTTATTAGAGGATGACAGCAGAAAAAACTTAACTAGGGACACTAAACATTGTCTTTACCCACAACCCTCAGAAATTGACAAATAAACACCAGGATGTGGAGGGCCCTGGGAACACTCGTCCATTCACCCACAGGTGTTTGCAGCCCGTTCCAGGCCTTAGGGGAACAAGATCAGAGAAGTCTCTGCCCTCAGGAACTCACACCCTGTGGGGATGAGGAGAGAGAAGCAAGAGATCTAGAATGCGATGTCAAGGACTGACATTGTCATGAACGGAAGAGAGCAGGGAAAGGTCAGAAAGTGAAGATGGAGGGTCTTCAGAACAGATGGTCAGGGAAGGCATCTCCCAAGGATGCCTGTGAGACTGAGCAGGGTGCTGAGGGCAGGGAGGGAGTGAGCTGGGCAGACACCCGAGGAAGAGTGTTAGGAACAGAGGAAATAAGAAGTTCAAATGGGCTGAAGTAATGGTGGTCATGTTGCTGAGCTTGACCAGTGGACTCACACACACACAAACTCCAAGTCTAAGACATGAAGAGATCTGCTCAGGACCCAGGGCCTCATCTTTCCATCCCAATATATATGCCCAAATATTGATTGATCTCTCTCTCTTCCCTCCTAGTCTCATTCTTAACCTTCTGGAACCTGCCCACCAGTGCCAAACCCATTATTGAATCAGTGCCGACCAATGCTATTACAGGGATGGAGGTTCTTCTCTTTGTCTACAATCTGCCTGAGGATCTTGCAGGCTGTGCCTGGTACAAAGGGGACAAAGTAGATCCCAAACTTGAAATTGCATCATTTGGAATAAATACATCAAAAATTACCCCAGGGCCTGCATACACCAGTCAACACAAATTATACCCTGATGGATCCCTGCTGTTCCGGAACGTCATCCCAGAGAACACAGGATACTACACCCTACTAGTCACGAGGAAGAACTCCCTAGTTGATACAGCAATTGGAGAGCTCCACATATACTGTGAGTGATTCCTCTCTGTCCTCCAGGTGTTGGGTGGGGTGATTCTACTTCACACACACAGGATTGACAGGCCTGGACTGGGCCTACATCCCCCTCTGCATTATGTCTCATGTACAGATTTGAACATTTACTGCAGGACACAAACAGTGGAGAAAAACATCAAAAGCTTGGAATTTCTTTCCTGGAATCTGGACCCTGTAGACATCCCCTCCAGAGAGATGGGCTGGGCTAACTCAGCAGAGGGAGATGAGTCTCAGTGCAGCCCCTTGGGGCCCTCTCTGGGACCATGGCCCTGAGGTAGATCCTGCAGGATCAGAGCCTGGCCTGAGGGGCCCCGTGGGATCCGCACAGAGAAACTCAGCCCTGAGAAGTCCCTGTCCGGACACCTGTCCCAGGGCTACTGACTCCAGTGACCCTGGGGAGCCTTTGCTAGGGCTGAGTTGTGGCCTCCTGGGCAGGGCTGACAGGGAGCAATGTTTTCCCGGCCATCCCAGTCCCAAGGCTCCTGAGCTGGTCACCAGCCAGGGCACAGCCCCAAGAGCCATATCTGGGCAGGGACACAGCCTGATCCTTCACCTGAGACTCAGCATGGAGAGCACAGGTGGACAAGGTCCCCAGGCCATTAGCTGACAGCCGTGGGGAGCTTAGGAGACTCCAGAGGAAGGTCAGTTCCCCAGGGAGGAACAGAGGAGAGAAGATGCTGCTGGCAGCTCCTCACCCACCAGGGATCAGGTCCAGGGGCATTCTCTCTTGGAAAGTAACAACAACAGATGCCACTTATTCAAGAAGCTCCTCTCTACCAAGATTAAGTGAATATTTTAAGGTTAACTCACTGACGACCTGCAGCCAAATATTTATCCTACTTCGTTGAGGGGAAACTGAGGCACAGAGAGATATCATCTCTGAATCAGAGTCACATAGACCATGAGGGGCAGATCAGTCACAGGAAGACACAGCCCCGTCCTCCCTTTCAGCAAAGGGGCCTTATTAGGTGTGTGTGGACCCCAAGACAAATGGTCAGTTCAGGTCCTTTCTTCTTAGGCATGCAGAACACCAAAGGAGAGATTCTGTTCTAGGGAATGAGAGCAAATGGAGAATTCATCCGTGTTTATTCTAGAACTAAATTACCTGCATCAACAATCAGAGTCAGTGCAGGGAATCTCCAGGCCACCCCCTCAGGTAGCCGATCCACACCTCCCTGCACTGGACTTGATATCACTTATTTGTTTCCTGATGTGTTGGGGTGACTCCCACTAGAGTATAAGAGAAAGGACCTTGCCATCTCATTCCCCACTCTACACCTGTGTCCAGCACAGAGCCCATATGGAACAAACTCTCAACTGCTACTGATGAAGGGGGGAAGGAATGAATGGTGAATGAACAAATGATCCAAAATCTCTTCAGCGACTGGAATCTGGATGCAAAGTCCTTGGAATTTTCTCCACACAGGACAGGTTCTCTGACCCTCCAGGGGCTGAAGCCCGTGTCTCAGGTCTTTTACTGCTCTCTAGGGAAATACTCCTTCCCGCAATTGGTCTGAGACACTGGGATATTAATGATAATTTTCCCACATGAAAGAATTTAAAATTCTCCTCAAATTTCTATCTCATAACCACCAAACGCGGATGGACCATGAGGGCCAGATTTGTAGCAAGTTCAGACTCCCCCCTTTACACCACTCACCCCTTCTGCATTTGCACACATCCACTCCTGCCCTCAGCAGAGACAGAAGAGACCTTAAAGACCAAGGGCAGAGATCAGGTTCCTCTGCCAAAGCCAGGCAGCTCCTGACTGTCCCCTCACTCTTTTCTGGATCATTCTTTGGACTCTATCATTTATTGGGTCACTGGCTTATGTCAGTTACAGTCACCTGGGAGGATCTGATCCACATCTTTGCCCTGAGGCCTGTGTACTCACCTGACTGCTTCACTTGCTCCTGGTCCTCATATGTTATTTATGCTCAAACCACAGACCCACCTTACCCATCACTAGGAGAATCTTGAAAATGGTGCCTCAGAGAAAACATACCTCGCTGGATGATGGAGGTGTGCACAGTGGGAAGGAATCACCCCCTTGTTGGCCAGACAATCAGCTGGTCAGTGAAGAACCAGCAGAGGCATGGAGGGCGAGGTTGGGGGGGGCTCTCTGATTCTCCTCCTTTGTCTTTTCAAGACCAAACTCTGCTAACATAGTGATTGAGAAAGTCTGTGCTTTCTCCTAAAGAACCGGTGGCCTTACATTCTCTGAGTGCTCTGATACTCATGCCTTTGTCTTGAGATACACAAACCTACCTCATTCTCTCAAGGACTCGGGTTGGCTGAATGGTGAGAGATGCCAACTCTAATTCTCCCATTTTTCAATCAGGTTATTTGGTTTTGTTGTTGCTGTTATGTTTAGCAGTTCTTGGTATATTCTGGATATTAACCCCTATTTGTATATAATTTGCAAAATATTTTTTACCATTTCAAAGGTCACCTTTCACTCTGTTGATTGTGTCCTTTAATGAACTGGCTTTTCATTTTGACAAAGTCCAACTTATCTATTTCTTCCCTTTTTTCCTGTGTTCTTAGTGTTACATTCAAGAAATCACCACCAAATCCAATGTCATGAAGATTTCCCCCTATGTTTTCTCTTAAGAGTTTTATAGTTTTAAGTCTTACTTTATGATCTGATCCATTCTGAGTTAATTTTTGTATATGGTGGAAGGCTGGAGTGAATGTCCAAGTTCATTCTTCTGTATGTTGATATCCAGTTTTCCAACACTGTTTGCTGAAACGACTGTCCTTTCTCCACTGAATGGTCTTGGCTCCCTTGTCAAAATCATCTGATCACATAATCGAGGCTTTATTTCTGGATCTCTATTGTATTCCATGGCCCATGTGTCTGTCTTTATGTCGGTGCCGCATTATTTTGATCCGTGTGTGTGTGTGTGTGTAAGAAGATTGGCCCTGAGCTAACATCTGTTGCCAATCTTCCCATTTTGCTTGAGGCAGATTGTTGCTGAGCTAACATCTGTAAAATTTATGTGGCATGCCACCACAGTGTGGCTTGATGAGCGGTGCTAGGACCACGCCCGATATCCAAACCAGTGAAGCCCAGTCCGCCAAAGCAGAGCGAGAGAACTTAACCACTATGCCACTGGGTCACACCCAGTTTTTGATTCTTTAGCTCTGTGGTAAGTTTTGAAATCAGGAAGTGTGAGTCCTCCAGTTTTGTTCTCCATTTTAAAGAATGTTTTAACTATCAGGGTCCTTTGAATTTTAGGTTGGATTTTTCGATTTCTGCAAAAATTTCATTGGGTTTTGATATGGATTATAGGGAATATGCAGATAGTTTGGGGTATATTGGCATCTTAACAGTATTAATCCTTCCCTTCTGTGAACATGGATGTCTTTCCATTATCTGCATCTTCTGTAATTTCTTTCAGAACACTTGGGACTTTGCAGTGTGCACATCTTCCACCTTCTTAGTTAAGTTTATTCCTAAGTGTTTTCTACTATTTCATGCTTGAAAATGGACTTATTTTCTTAATTTCTTTCTTGGATTGTTCATTGCTATTGTATATAAACATGACTGATTTTGAATGTGACTTTGTTTCCTACAACCTTGCTGAATTTGTTTATTAGTTCTAATAGTGTGTGTGTGTTTGTGTGTGTGTGTGTGTGTGTATGTTTGGGTGATCTTTAGGCTTTTGTACATATAAGTATGCCTTCTGCTAAATGAGGTCACTTTTCTCTCTTCTTTTCCAATTTGGATGCCTTTTACTTCTTCTTCTTGCCTCATTGTTGTGGCTAGGACTCCTGTACTACACTGAATAGAAGTGGTGAAAGCAGCATCCTTGTCTTGTTCATGATCTTAGAGGAAAGTTTTCTGTGTTTCGTGATTGAGTATGATGTTAGCTGTAGGCTTTTCATTTATGACTGTTGTCATAATGAGTAGCTTCCTTCTATTCCTAACAGTCCCTGTCTTTTTTTAAAACTATAACCACTTCTCTCTAGAGATTTCCTTCACTGTGGTATTCAATCCACAGGCAAGGAAGAAAAAGCCTTCCTCAGAGTGAGAAATCCTTTAGATTAGAAGCTCTTCGGGTCCTAAAGTTGTGAAGACTGGGTGGCACCACCCTCATTCCCTAATAAATTATTTAACAAGAAGTAAATGTTTTCCCACTATACGTAGCATTCCCTTGGCCCCAGAGATGGGCAGAGCTGACAGAGTTGCCTTCGACAACACACACGAAAGTGTATATAAGGAATGTGGCCTGACCTTTTCTGAAGTCAAAGAAAGTTCTAGGAAAAAAATCAATGAAAGTTCACAAGAGAAAAATTCTACCTGATAATAAGGTCATAGGACACATGGGATGAGAAGAAGTTCCTGGTCCTGATGCTACAGAGATGTCCAGGGGACTGATCAGGGATCATCCTGGGGTGATATAGGGGTCAAAGTGGGAGGTGGTGTCCCCTCCTTACAGATCATCACCTGAACAAAGACGCTTATGCTTCTGGAGGGGTCAGGGCCATCATTGGGTCACCTTTAGAGAGTGGCTGAGATCTCTCAGGAAGGAGTGTGGGCACAGGCCCAGGCCCACTCTCAGTCAGTCACCTCCTCTGTTTCTCCACAGAGTCAGTGTCAAAGCCCTCCATCCAAGTCAGCTTAGGACATAAAGACCCCAATCAAAGAAAATAAGGACCCCGTGGCCCTGACCTGCCTCACAAATGACACCAGGATCTCCATCCAGTGGTTCTTCAATGACCAGAGTCTGTGACTGACCGAGAGGATGAAGCTGTCCCCCGACAACAGCACCCTCACCATAGACACCCTCAGGAGGGAGGATGCCGAGGATTATCAATGTGAAGTCTCCAACACAGTCAGTTCCAGTAAAAGTGACCTCCTCAGGCTGGATGTAAGATATGAGTCTGGCCCTCTGGTTCTCTTCCCCTCATCTATGTTATTAAACTCTGAATGATTTTTTTCTTATCTGTAAAACAATGGTTCTGAGGCACTTTTCAAGTAGAGTTGTTGTAGTAGTCAATGAAAAGATGGAAATTCCTTAGAAGACTCTCATTGAATCAATAAATGCTCAGCAATGTGAACTGACTTTGTCATTATTGTTGGCTTAAGGCCACATTCCACTCTAGATCCCAGCTCTTGTTGGTCTCAGTGACACCACCTGCACAGTGGAATGCCAGGCAGTGGTTGTGCAATGAGAGGTGGGAGCCCATGATAAGGTCTCAGGAATCACAGCTCTATCCCTCCTCCAGGAGGAGGCATGGACGGTGCCTGGACTGTGACATGGAAAACAGGAATAGACAGGAGGACATCCATGTGGGTATCAACACTGATCTTTTTCTCCCCATCTGATTCCTCTCAAAGAATTCCTAAAGTCTTCCTGAGTATCCTTATTTTCATGGCAATAGACTTATTGTGTAGGATCAGTACAACCCTGTCCTCCTTGTTACTAGAATATCAATGGAAAACTTGCTGGTAGACCCTCAGCTCTGAATTGAATGTCCTAGGTGACAATGATGCCCCTGGGATGAGATATGACCCACACTTTAAGGAGCTAAGTTTGACTTGATGGGTATGTTGGGGATCTTGAGAAGAGAAGACGTCACTCAAAGTTATAGAGACTGCAGGTGAGTCCTGATGTCCAGGCTTCTTAATGCCAAGAGGCTGTTAAAAGTCCCGTCTGAGGTTCCTTAGGAAAACCTGCATCAGAGGAAACTGTGTGGTGAGTGTGCAGTCCCACAGCACCTGTGCAAATAATCAGGCCAAATCCAGTGAGAACAGCCTCATTCCAGCATCAAGAACACTCTTCCTTAGATATAAGCTTTGTTCAAAAGGAAAATGACTGTTGGGGAAATGCTGTCTTTCCATGGAAAAGTCCAGCAAGCACAGCCTTCTGATGATCAGATTCTGGCCCTGTTCACTGTCTCTCTCCTGTTTTTCACCTCTGTACAAATTGCAGGGAACTGATGGAGACGCAGACTGGGTCTTGGCCACTAGAGATAGCCATGTGTTTCCCTTCTGCTGTGCAGAAATCAGTTTTATCATGACATAGAGGCCTGATGTTCCCTCAGACTCCCTCAACTTTAGACAGTTCTTCCTGATTGTAGACCCCTGGCCTCCATTTTCTCAGAGCGTTTCCTTTAGAAATGTAACTGCAATCTGTAATTGCAGATTCTTTCTCTGCAATTTTGAAATGTATATAAGTCTCCTTCAAATTTTCTTCCCAGTTTTAGGATCCAGGGGATGTCTTTCTCAAGGGCCTGGGCCCATCCCTTTGAAACGTAGTCCTCCTGGGAGATCCTGCCCCTGCCTCCCAGTCTCTGAGGGAGGGCAGGAGCCTAACTTGGGTGGATCCCTTTACATCCAGGGTGTAAAACTACCTCCTGTCAGGATTTTATGGGAAGTTTTACTTTTCTTTCGAGTAAGGCTGATTAGCAAACACAAGTGCCTATAACGCCCTCTACCTGCAGCCTTTCATTTCGGGGGTTGAGTTCAGTCTGTCTCCTTTTGCACTGGTCTCAAATAAAGTCTTTCTGCCTCTTTAACTTTGTCTGGTGCAATTTTTACTTTGACATTACCTGCCTATAAATGATCCTGTCATCTTCCACACAGTGTCGATCCTCACCATATTTTCAGATCCTCTAATTTCTTTCCTTATCTGGCTACCATCCCCCAAATGAAAATTTCCACTTTTCCTCCCTCCCTTCTGATTTGGCCTTCACAGCAGGAGATGACCTGACTGCCCAGACCCTTCTGGGGTCCCAGGTTGCCTCCGACCTGGTTTTTGTCACCAGGATCTGAGAAGCACTGTGAGCTAAAGTCCAATGACTTGAGAGAGATATGGAAGGCCCCCCACTCCAGTGGCCCTGACCCTAACAGTGTCCTCATTCCACACACATTGTCACCACACTTCAATGAACAAGATCATGCAGATTTTTATAGCTATTCTGTCACAAAACCTAACAACTCCAGTGGACAAGCAAGTCCTTACCACATCAGCCACTCCCACGTCCACACAGGACCACCCTGTCCAGGGCCCTCCCCAGCCTCAGGCTCAGGCCAGACATCTGTGTCCTCACTTCTTTGCTTTCTTCATTGTTTTTACAAACACCATGCACCTATTCAAAGGAGAGCCCACAAACAGAACCTGGGAAATGTAAATGGAATCTGTCCTCTGGTCTGTGTCCTTTCTTGCTCCTTTTGGTCTCTGGGGAATATGGCTGAATCCTTGGAGACCCAGTGACAAGGTGGAGTGTTGAGGTGAACATCGAGGAATGGTGCGGATGGGTGGGGTCTGCACAGAGTCTGGAGAAGGAATAGTAAAGCCTGGGTGTGTTTTGGGGTGTTAGGAGTGATTTGGGATCTAGTGGGACCATGCTGAAGGGTTCTTTTTGAAGGGCTTCCAGGATGGGGATGAGAATTCTCAGTGACAAGCTAATCCCCTGTTGAGGGGGGAGAAACTGGAGGTGATGTAGTGACACTGGGGTGCCACCCTTCTAGCCTTGGTTGGGCATGATGGGTGAGATAAAGTTTTGGGGAAAAGAATAAGATACTTGAAGACTCCAATTAGTGCCCTGACACTGGGAACGAGACAGAGCTCCAGAAGTTCGTGCAGAAAGTGACATGGGATAGGGGATAAGGGGGAGGGGGAGATAGCATCCAGTGGGATCTGGGAGTCTGGAGACCAATGAAGGGCTGGAGAATAGAGGGAACCATGAATGCAGAAGTCTTGAGCTCAGGGCATTTGGGGAATTAAGTCAGGAAGGGAGAGTGAGCACAGGGTAGTCAGACCAGAAAAGGGACCTGGGATGGAGCCTGGGGGAAGGTGGGGAATGCAGGCAGGAGTGGTAGTGAGGACCAGAGGCAAATCGAGGGCTAGATTTTTCCAGTCTTCAGTTCTGACCAGTTGAGACATGTACGTTTGCTCTCAAAGCCTGGGAGCACTGTGGAAAAGCCATATCTCACCCTGGTACCCTGAACCCTACTTCAGCTGAGCCAACAAGTTAGCCAGGCCCCCATGGGATTTGTGCGTGAGTGAGTAAGGCTGAATAGGAGCCTGGGGACAGGCAGGGGAGGGCAAATATGTGGGTGGGGATGGAGGGTAGAACGAAGTTGGAGTGTGTGGAGCCTTTTCCTTCTTTGTTGACCAGTCAGAATGAACTTCTCATCAGTCCACAGGTGAGAGCTGTGTGACAGGTGTCAGTGAGGGGTGGTAGGTGCCAGGATCATCTGGACACCTGTCCTCCTCTAATCGAGGACATACCACTTCCATTTGTGATGCATCTGCTCTCCCCACCTGACCTTATGTTGGTGGATGTCATAGAACCCAGGTCATGATGAGGGGTTCTGGCTCCCTGGTCACATTACAGCCCATGTTCAGATGCTCTATCTCTTCCAAGCCCTAGGAGGAGGTCAGGAGCTGTTTTTCTATGACTGCAGAAGGCATATGCAGAAGAAAATGCAGAAGGCATGGCCTTGCTCAGAACCCTAGGAGTCTGCATGGAATTCTCTCATTAGGTCCTGCCAGAGGCTCCACAAAGCACCTTGCATCCTTCTAACATGGGTTGGATGGAGGTACGTGTGTAGGAACTTGTCCTTTCCTCTGGAGGGTATGTCCAGCATGCCCCAGACTATTGGAGCCCTAAAACCTTCATAGTTGTAGCAGATCCCTGAACGGTCACAGATGCGGATGGCCCAACAGCACATGGAACTCTCACACCTTACCTAAATTGTTGACCTGGTCATTGATGTCTTTGTCAACACTGAAGTCATTGTCTTTTTTTGTTGTTTTTTGCGTGCTTTTTGTTGAGGAAGACTGGCCCTGAGCTAACAACTGTTGCAAATCTTCCTCTTTTTTCTTTTTTTTTTCTCCCCAAAATCCCAGTACATAGTTGTATATCCTAGTTTTACGTCCTTCTAGTTATTCCATGTGGGACGCCGCCTCAGCATGGCTTGATGAGCAGTGCTAGGTCCAGACCCAGGATCCAAACTGGAAAACCCTGGGCCGCCAAAGTGGAGTGCGTGAACTTAACCACTATGCCACCAGCAGTCATTATCTTTAATCATCAATTTCAGCAAGCATCCACTTCCACTCTTTGGAGCACATGTGTCTTACAAGGCATTCGGAATACTTGCCATTTCTTTTTCATCACTAGGAGGAAAGTTTCTAGTTCTCACCATTAAGCATGATATGAGTTGTAGGTCTGCAGGTTTTTTATTTCTTGAGTTAACGTGGAATTGACTTGGAGGATGAACACATCCATTGCTCTGCTAGGCAGGGCCAGCTTCCTAGGCTGACAGTCTGTGCACTCACTTAGTAGGCCCTGTGGTAGGTTTAATGCTCTGCTTTTGCCATCTTGAAATTCTTCATAATTTTTTAACAAGGAGCCTTGATTTTCACTTTACACTGAGTCTTGCAATTTACTACCTGGTTCTGCCCCTTGGTAGGCACCGTGCGTGGATGGGCTCCCTTGGGGAAAAAAAGTTTGACCCTATTAAGAGGTGCACTTTGAGATCTGGCCACTTGAGGGCGGCACACCACATCGTAACCTGGAGGGCTGTGAAGACAGATGTAGAGGAATTTGGCTTTTTCTACTGTTTGTGTCATTATATGTCTCTAACTGCCCAGCACCCCTTCACGGCCCCCCAACTCTGTAACTCACAGAAGAAAGGTTCTCTAGGCCTGATGTACTTCAGAGATTCAAATTTTGGGCTCCACGTCCAAGGGGGAAAAGAAGAAATCAAACCTAGATGGCTTAAATGTGAATAGCATTAAATAGACGTCATAAAGTCCACACTGAGTGTTGGTCTTGGGAAAATATTGGAGATACGGGGATGGGAAGGGGTGTGTTACGGTGATGGGGAAAAAGGGAGCTGAGTCCTCAACTTCCAAGAGGGAAGACCTTAGATAATGCCTGGAAGTGAAAATCAGTAAGTAGCCTCAGAGCAGGTTTTTCAGAGATGACTTTGGTTCCATCCAGAGGAGCTGCTGCTGTTTGGGGCAGATCTCCTCAGTGTGGCCCAGGCAGGAGAAGCCAGGACCTTCCTGTGGTCACTGTGAACAGAACACACAGAGACACTGGGT